GGCGGGGCGGGGCGGGGCGGGTGTTTTAATATCAAGGCATGACGCCACCGCTTCGCCCCACCTCACCGAGGGGAGTGGTCGATACAGAGACGTACTGTCCACCGTCCATGATTATTTGAGGCTCCCCGTATCGCGAAACCTTGAGACGTCCGTTGCATCCTGTCGCGAGCGCAGTCTCTATGCTCTCCGCGCCAACAGGGGGACGGCTCAAATAAGGAGAGCGGGAGAGCAGCAGCGGGAAACCGCGGTGCCTTTTAACCGCCCGCGCGCGCACCCGCAGCCTATCAGGTGGGTGGAGGGGGCGGGAGGGAAGGGGGAGCAACAGTGTTTGCCAAGAAGCGCGCGGGGGCCGCCGCCGTGAGAGCCCCGCAGTATCCTGGCGACGCCGCCGATGGGGAGAGTCCTCTCTGCCAGGGAGAGGGGAGTTCCCCCTCCGCGCCCTCCTCGCCGCGCGCACATCTCATCAGCAGTTGATTGCCTCCCTATAATTGAAATGATATGCCTAAATCTGCATATCAAAACGGAAAGTAAAACACTCGAGTTAATCAAGACTCCCTCCCCCTCCCCGCAGCAGAGCCCGGCCCGCGCCACCCGGCCCCCTGCAGACAACAGGCATGCAAATAGATTGTCGCGGGGCTGTCGTTCCCTCTCCCTCTCACTCTGTCTCTCCCCCTCGCGCACTTTCAGGCGGCGTACCCCCGCGCCATCTGCAAACGCCCCCTCCCCTCACCCTCCCCCGCCTTAACCTAACATCGGTTGGGGGGGGGGGAGAAAGGGGGCTTTCCCCTCGGCTTTCCCTCTCGCCCCCCTCGACACTCTCACCGGCCCGCAAGCTTCCATATATTCGGTTTCCGGTCGGTGTCGTGACAATGCCTGGCAAAACGACACGAAATGCCCCCATGACGTGCTCAAAGCGCCGCGTCGACTTGGGCTGTGTATGAATTTCGTTCGTCAGACTGCTACGGAGCTGGCCGTGGCCATACTTCCTCCATGGAGCTGGCGCGCGAAACCTCGGGCGTCAGCTGTCTGCGGTGCAGCAGGCCGCGAGTGACACTGCGCACACTGCGCGTGTCAGCCGCAGGCCGCGCCCGACGGCTCCGGCCCCTTCTGACCACTCCAAAAGCCCCTCGCGCCAATAGAGCGGGGTCAAAACGGGGTCAGGGGTCAGAGGGGCTGAATGCATAGATCTGCCCCTGCGTGTGCCAGACCATCCCCAGCCCAAGCCCTTCCCATCCATTTGCCACCCCCCCCCCCTTCCCCTCCAACCAGAGCCCGCTACGTCAATCTTTGACCGGTGTATCATTCATGCCGATAGAGCAAACTAGAGTTTGTGCATGGGTAGATGGGGAACCTGTATAGACCCGCTTACCTAGAAAACAACAACCAATCGGTTTGTGTTTTTTTCCTGTCGTTTCTTCCTAAATGAGAAACGAAAACTTGCCACTTTCCGCTAAAAGATGTGATACGCCGAGTACCAGTGGGACAGCGATAAGGCGCCGTTGCACATACGCCCTGTTCCGTCAGGGTCGGGCGCGGCCGTGGCGTATCGTATCACGAGACAAAGAGCAATGGGAGTTTCCCTGCTCTCGTGTCCCCACAACCCTGCTTTTTTAGTAAGGGGTGGTGCTAATACCACGTGACTTTTAGGGGGTACAAATATTATGGGGTCCTATGGGCTTCAATGATGGTCCGAATCCTTTTGGGACCGCCCCCCCTTCAAAAAACTGGCCAGCTGGCCTGTAACAAGGCAGTCGACGGATGATTTGAAAGCTGGCACCAACAAAACGGAAATAACCACGGGAATCAATAAAAATTAAAAATCGGGAAATCAAAGCCAAGAATAAAACGTCGGGCTGGGTTGGCTGGTGGGTCTAGCTAACAGCTAGTGTGTCTGGCTGGTGGGATTTCGTGGCAAATTCATCTTTAACAACGTCAATCGGTTTACGCAAACTGGAACGTCGATCGGCAATCATTATGAAAACTGAAACGTTAATCAGCCATCTTTATAAAAACTGAAAGGTCCATCAGCAATCTTCATCAAAACTGGAACACCTGAATCAGCAAGCAATTTGTAACAAAGCAAAGGGGAAAACTGTTACCTTCCGGAACAGACAACCACTATTTAAACATCAGGAAATCAAAGGCAATAATAAAATGTCACGCGTGGTTGTCTGGGCGAAGCTGGCGGGGCGGGTGGGACTGGCTGTGCCGGCACAACGGGCTAATATTTTGCAACCAAAATTACAAACACTTCAAATAACAATTTAGATGCGAGATTATCAACATTTCAATAAACGTTTCGAAGCGAGATGCGTAATTCGTTTCTTTGTGGTTGGTGGGGCGAGATAATAATATCCCTTCGACATTAAGAGTGTATGTTTATGTGACCCTTGAGTTCAGCCCGACGCGGGCCCCACGCGCGCGCGCGCCGGGTTGGGGAGGGGGGCGCCAGGCTCGGCGCGAAGAGGCTATGTGCTCTGTCTGTCTGTCTCTCTCTCTCCTCGGGCGCGGGCGGGTCGGTCTCTCTCTCTCCTCGGGCGCGGGCGGGTCGGGCCACCTCCTCCGATTATGCTCTCTTAGTACAGCGTTGAGGCTTCGCACCGCACGGATAGAGATCGACACATCATGCCCCCCCAAACCCGCACACACGCCCATATATACTAGCTGGGATAGGGCTGGGGCTGGGCGCTGGCATACTAGCTGGGCTGGGGCTGGGCGCTGGCTGGCTTGTACTTTAACTGGATCAGGCTGGCTTGCTTCTGACCAAATGTAAAAGTCAGCCGGTAAACGACTGCCTAAAAAAGCCTCGTAGTGTGGGCACGACCCCCAACAAACCCGATGATATGAAATAAGATTTTAAAGGTTTCGGAAATGAAAACAACGAAAGGTATTTGCAACGGTAGAAAATATATCATATCTTATTAATATGAAGTTATCCAAACAGACTGATGCATTTACAAGCTTCCAGCGAGTCCGGTCTTTTCCGCGGGCAACTTGAGCGGTGGGTGGCGGGCTTTGAACTCCTCGGAGGTCTGTCGGACGACAAGAAATAAACAGGATGCAGAAAGAAGCGCACGAGAAGAAGACTCTTTTTTGTTTGTTTTACTTACGATGTCGGCCCAGAGGGTGAGGCCCTGAGAGAAGCTGACTTCACCCTTCTTGAACTTCTCGTTGTGCTCGTCGATGCGCTTCTTGTTGTCCTTGAAGATTCCGAAGCGCTTCTTCTCCTCCTCTGGAGTGTCGTACTTCCTCCCATTTTCAACCTGAAAATGACAACACATGTTCACATTCATGCAAGGCGTCAAGGCCGTGGTCCCTGCGGACCGCTACCTGCCCGAGGGAGTACACCCAGAAAAATATTTTATTGATTCAAGTATATTTGTACTCGGATTGCAATTTTTCTCTTGAAACAGTGCAAAAATACCAGTGAAGGATTGTGCTTGTGTGCAAACCCGAGTACAAATAAACTTGAACCAAGAAAGGATTTCTCTGGCTGTAAGTCCCCCATCTCTCATAAAGGGAAAAACACCGAAAACTGATCAAACTATTCTGAAAGGTGTCCGTCTTCAATTGACGCATGCACTATCAAATTTCACCGTTGAGGTGTCGCCACAATGAACGTTTCCCGGGGCCCCGCAATGATGGGGCCTGCCGCGCGCCGGGTAGGCCAACCCGTCAAGCATCTGTGTCAAGTTGGCGGCCCACCCGGGCCCACCCGCAGCGTCCAGGTGCCGGAGAGAGCGCGGGAAAGCGGGAAGTTCAGGCAGGAGCCCTGCTCGCGCTAACTCGCGAGATGTTCACCGTGGGGGGCAGCATGAAACGTTTTCGTGCTCACCAGAGAGGTTTATGGATTACCCCCACAACAGTTAACGGTTAACTGTTTAACTGTTAACCCAATACAACAAAGCAGCCAACAGAAACACGGGCCAAAAAGATCAACGAAATGTCTCTTTTCGAATATTGAATAAAAGGCGCGCGACTGGACGGGGCACTCGCTGAAACAGCTGACGACGCGACGGGAGGGAGAGGGCGCCCCCCCACCTCTTGTTTGGTGATGGGCGTACCGCGAGAGGGTTATGTTCCCGCTGTTTACGAACGGCATGGCGAACCACGACTTTGTGCCGGTCAAGCTACACTGTGACGGCGAGTTTGTCAAAACCCATACACCAACACAGTGTTGGTACGGGGGCCGATTTTAGGTACACCCTCGGATATAGCTGCGCCGTAAAGCTGATTTTGACAGGTGTCTGACGGGCTGGTGCATTGCGTAGCGATGCTTTGTTTACAAACCTTCCACTCCTCCCACAGCTGCTCCACAGACTTGGTGCCGTCGTCCTCCAGTCCCATGGTGACGTGAGCGACTGCCAGCAGCAGCAGCGCAGCGGAGCACGCGAGCAACACCCTCATCTGCAATCAGGTTGGCGGGGCGGGGCGGAGGCCCTAGTAGTAGGGTCAGTGTTTTTCCTCACCATGAGTCACGGGCGCGTGGGGGCCGGGCGTCGCGGCCCATTATAGATAAGGCATCGAGACGAGAAGCGCGCCAACGTTTGAACCGGAACGGGAATTTTGCGCACGGCGCGCACCTCCGTGCTGCCGACGGTACAATGTGAATTATTTAACGGGTTAACTTGATTGTTTACCGACTACGTCATAGTGCCAAATACCCCGAAAGACCTATTCAATCAATTCATTTTAAACCTCACATCGTATTGAGAACTTCATTTTGATCATCAATACATCTAGACGAAATCAGGCCTTTTAAAAAAAACAAAGTTAATCTCGCTTGAGCAAGCTGTTTTTCCAGCGTTTTGGACGTCGTATCGCATCGCTGTCGCCACTGTCACCACTCACCTTGGCTACTATCGGCGCTAAGTAGTCTCGTTGGCTGCAAACCTATGTCTTTCACACTCGGCCGCCTTGTAGAGACTGCCGGGCCAGCTGACGCTGCGCGACCCACCTAGCACCCAGCCGGCGCTCTCAGCTTGG